TTCTGGGCACCTTACTTGCATTGTATCATTAGTCCTCACTGCAACCCAGAGAGGCAAGATGCTACAATTGTCCCCACTTTACAGATGGGGAAACTGAGGCTCTGAGTGTATCGGGAGCTTGCCCAAGTTATCACAGCCAGGGAGTGGTGGTATCAGGATTTGAACCGAGGTTTGTTCTATATGCTTTCCCCCTATTTTCCTTTCGGAGGAGAACATTGTATTCTAAAAGATTCAGGCTCCCATACATCTGTCATCTGGGAAGTAGAATGTATTCCTCTGATACGGTAGTTCTCAAGTTTCACGTGTGCTTGCTTAAAATTTGCATTCCCAACAGATATTTACCCAATCAGGACCTCGGAGAGTGAGGCCTGGGAATCTAATTTTGAAGCAGGTGGTCTCCTGGTAAATTACATGCTAGTAGCTCTTTCTTCCACGGGTAGGGAAAAGGAAAAGTCATATTTTGGGAAAATGCTGCACACTTCCAGCTGGAAAAACAGTTTTTGTTAAGTGGGACATAGTGTGCTTGCAAAGTCTTGCTGTGGTCCCTCTTCCCTCGCTCTCCAGAGTCTGTGTAATTTCAGGGCTTGTCTAATCCTGCCTACTCTATTAGCAGATCCTGGATGTGCAGGCTCTCGTTCTTGACATCTGAACCTCCATGCAAGGTTTAAGTGCCTGGGCATTGGAGATATTTCTCTTGGGGTTTTCTGCAAGAGCAAGGCTGTGTTTCCACTGCCAATGCTGCCCTCTGAAGCCCCTGGCTGGAAGGAGGAGTGTTCGGTCTCCCACTCCTGGGACAGAGGTCAAGGAGGGCTTTCCCGTTACTGCCAGAGATAAGCAACAAGGGACTCTGGAGAGGAAAAATGCCAAGGAGGAGAGCAGGAAGCAGGCCAAGGTCATGGGCAGTCTCACCTGTCCTGTCTTGGATTAGCAGTGGTCTACAGGTTAAATTAAATTGCATGCCCCTGATTCAAAGTGCTGCCCACGAGATAGCCACAGGGCTTCTTTGTATCTGCAAGGCACTCTCCCAGCTGGGTTTATTAGAGATGACTCATAGGTAGGGGTGTTGGAAAGGAAAATAATTCTTTCTTGAAATTTCTGGAGTGGAGTCCAGCTATTCCAAGTGCAGAAACTTCTTAGTCTGACTCCCCTTTGACATCAGATTCCCTGAAGCTCAGGGCCTCCCAAACATCTGTCTGACCGTGTCATGGTCCTCAGAAACCTTCAGTGGCTTCACAGCACCTGCAGATTCAAATGCAGACCCTTTGTCTTAGCTTTCGGGGTCTCCGCCACTTCCCCTTCCTCATGTCCCCACCGTTCGTGTTGTTCTCTTCACTTTAAAAGTTCTCATCACTTTAAAAGCCTCGTCGACCTTTAACTTTTAACCCTTGAACTCACCACACATGCCCTGCCCTCCAAACCTTTGTGCCGGAACTCGGCTTCACCTACCCTTGACACCTACCCGAGGACCCCCCTCATACCCCATCATTCCCCCATCCCACTTCCCTGAAATATTTTTTCATGATCTTATGACATCTGCAGTTATTTGATTTATCTGCTTATACATTTATCATCCTTCCCCATAAACAGAGAGGTGGCATTAGTCTTGTTCATTGTGTATGTCCAGTACCTGGGGCACTCCAGGCCAAGTCAATGTTGAATGAATAAAAGGCCAGTTTCACGTTTAGCAGAGCTCTGCATAAGGGTTTTGAGACATCATGAGCTTTCCCGTGGGGGCTGGGATATTTCCCATAAGTCTGAGAGTCTGAGGATCTTAGAAAAGGAAAAGACAAAGAAAGCCAGGTCACAGTAACTTGGGATTTTGATTATCCTTGTCAAGTCAAGCGTCTGTATTGGGAAGAATTAGGTGTTATCTTAGGCTTGTCTCAGAGAAGGGCATTTTGACTCGGGTAGTCATAGCTCCGGGAAATTTCTGCTTTACCCACACCTACACCCAAAATGATAAAGCAAAAAGTGTGCAAGTTGTGAAGGCATCTAGCATCGTGGTTAAAAGTTGGGCTTGGGACCTCTGTCTCTTACTGCCTATTTGACCTTAGGTAAGTTATACAAATTTGATGAGCCTGAGTTTCTCACTCTGTAAAATGGGACTAACAATAATTGCTACTTCTTAGGGCTGTTACGAGGATTAAATGAATGATGTAAAGCACTTAGGATATTACCTGACACATCATACATGTTAGTTCTTGTTATTTTCAGTGCCCTACCGTTTTTATGTCCTTCATGACCAACAGCAATTCCAAATGTTTTTCAACCATCTTAGACTTTCTGGTGCCAAGAGCTGTGTCCTCTTTTTGTAGATTCCAAAATGTCTAAGTCAGCTTTTCCCAGTCTAACTCAGACATTTGTCTAACACTCTGTCATGATTTTATCATAATTACATATCCGCTCTACTATTTTTACTTATTTTCTATTTATGGCCTTTTTAAACTTAAATTTATTGAAAGATGAAAATATATCTCATTATCATAAATGAAAAATCAACATCACTTGCCATTAATATAAGGTGTGTTAGTCTGTTATGCATTGCTATAAAGGAATACCTGAGGCTGGGTAATTTATAAAGAAAAGTTTATTTGGCTCATGGTTCTGCAGGCTGTACAAATATGGCACCGGCATCTTCTTGGCTTCTGGTAAGGTCTCGTAGCAGAAGGAGAAGGGGGAGCAGGGGTGTCACATGGCAAGAGAGGTAGCAAGAGAGATAGAAGGAAGTGCCAGGCTCCTTTAAACAATCAGATCTCAGGGTCTTTAACAGAGTGAGAACTCACTCATTACCATAGGGAAGGCACCAAGCCATTTGTGAAGGATCCATCCTCATGACCCGAACACCTTCCACTAGGTCCACTTCCAACTTTGAGGTCATGTTTCAACATGAGACTTGGAAGGGACAAATATGCAAACCATCTCATAAGGCAACCTGGAAAAAATAAATTTTCAAATGGAAAACTCCATTGATAAAACTCCCTGTGGATACTGCTACCTGTCGAAATCGGGGACTGGACATAACACGTGTTGGAGACACCTCTCTGGTGCCATCAGATTGAAAGAGAATTGGAGAGGGGCTTATGTCTCACCCTGTGATTCAGCATTGTCTCATATTGCCCATGTCCCTCTTTGCTCCCCTGCTGCACTCTTGGTGGTCCCAGGTCTAACTTTTTCAGAGAGGAATTCAGAGCCCCATGAGGACCATGAAAGACCAAACAAGAGAAAACCTGGGGAATTGTGCACAAATATTCCAAAACAATCAGCTAGGCTGGTGGTTCTCACCTGAGCATGCATCCGATTCACCTAGAGGGCTCGTTCAGACCCAGAGTGCTGCCTGCTACAGCCTAGCCTCCGAGTGCTGGTTCAGCAGGTCTGCCGTGGGGCCCCAGAAAAGTTCCCAGGTGGTGCTTATGCTGCTGTTCTGAGGACGCTACTTTCAGAACCACTGAACTAGACTAATTGGAGGAATCAATGTTGAGTCTGTGCCTGCATATTCAAACCATTATTTTAAAGAGAACTGTCAAATCAGGAAGAGAGTAGGGGGCAACTGTAAAGTTCCTACTTCTGAGTTTAGTATTTGTGTCTATTTTCATACTAAATCTCCAAGCAGCCTGAGGGCCACCATCTGGCAAAGATGTTGGCTGCTGGAAGTTAGGCTGGTATGTGCAAAATGGTAAGAGAATTCAAGGGGATATGAATGGGGAACTTATGGCATCTTCCACAGGGTGTATCTATCCTATTGACATAAAACTCTAAAAGAAAAGGACAAAGCCAGGCTGCAGTAATTTGTGATTTTTATTATCCTTGTGAAGTCAGGCAACTCGAGGGGAAAGAACAAGGTGTCCTCTTTGGCTCCTTTCAAAGGAAGACATTTTCATTCTAAACTCTTCAACTTTATGCCTCTAAAACTTAATACCTGGCACCGATTTCATTATAATTGGAAGCCCTGGTTGAATGTGTCCTACAGCTTGAGGCTTTAAGAAAAATGAGCGGCCACCTTTGGGACCACTGACCCAGGTTTTCTGTCAGGGCAAGTCAGTTAATCTCAGTTTTTCCATCTGTGAAATGGGAATGATAATAATGCCCATTTTGTGAGATTGTTATAAAGATTAAATGACATAGTATAAAATGAGTCTTCAAGTAAATGGAAGATGATGAGAAGAATTGTGATGATGATCATGGATACAGGCTAATGGGAAAAGCATGATATTTGATATTTTTTTAAAACATGAAGTCCATGTGGGCAATGCTAATAAAACAGCTGCCATCCACTGTTGGACCACCCAAGACTGACCTGAGAGAGTAGGATACTAGAAGCCTGTCTCCAGAGTTAATTTCCTGGTTTGCTAAGGATATGCCTTTGCAGTAGCTGCCCCATCTCATTCCACATCTTAGTATCCACAGCACCCAGAGCTTTCCAGACCACTGGGGGCATCCCATCTATCCACCTATCCATCTACCTACCCATCCACCATCCATCCATCCATCCACCCACTCACCCACCCATCTATCCATTTATTTATCTATTCACTTCCCCATCTATCCATCTATCCACACATCAGCCATCAATCTATCTGTTCATTCATCTCCCATCCATTCATCTATTCATCTATCTACCCATCTATCCACCCACTCATCCAACCACCTGTCCATCCATGTACCCATTTATCCATCTATTCATCCACTCATCCATCTACCATCCATCCATCTGTTCAGCCACCTATCAATCTATCCACCCATTCATCCACCCAGCCATGCATCCATCCATCTACCAATTTATGCATCCAACTACCCATCCATCCATCCATGAATCCATTCACCCATTCATCTACTCACCCATCTATCCCCCATCCATCTACCCATCCATTCATTCACTCATCCACCCATCCACCCATCCATCCATCCATCCATCCATCCATCCATCCATCCATCCACCCACCCACCTGTCCACTCACTCAGCCATTCACCTATCCATCTTTCTCTCTCTTTATCTTTCTCAGGTTAAAGTGCCACAACAAATGCACCAAAGAAGCCCCACCCTGTCATCTTCTGATCATCCACCGAGGAGGTAAGTATTTAACACTTACTGCCCTAGGGGTAGGGGTGAGGTGGGGCTCCTGCAGGTCCCGCACATAGCTGTCCCACTCGGGTTGGTTCTGAATACCTCCTGATCCCCACATAGTTCCCCACATGGTTTCTTCCTCTCTAACACCATTCTTCCTGACATCTGTCTCCTTTATCCTCCCTTATGCCTCTTCTCTCTATTTCTTGCCCCTCTACTGGTCCCTCAGACACTTTAGCCCCTTTTGTCTCCCCACTTAACCCCTGCTCTCTCATCCTGCCTCCTGTGCTAACTTCTAGCCTCTTCTGTTTACCAATCCCATTGCTTTTCTTCCCACCAAAAAGAGCACTGGCTGGGTGTTTTTCCATTGTGTGTTCGCTAGATTTAATCAATTGGCCTTGCAAAAGTAGGTATGAGGAGGGGTACATCTTGGGCCTGTTGGATTGGGCCATCTGTGTCCTGTCTCCTGGGGCCCTAGGAGTGTTCGAGCCAACCTATCCAGGCAAGGAAGTAGCAGCCCTGGGAGAGCCACTACCAGGATTCCACTGCAAAAGCAAGACAAATCTGGCTGAAAGGAAAGGCTTTTCCCTGACTGCCAATGACTTACTTATAAGGGACACTGTCTTGGGAACTCTTGTAGTCCAGCTTTCAAAATAGTTCCCCTGATCCTTGCCCAATGGGATGATCACCCCCAAACTCCATTATCCATATTGAAATTTATCCCTGAGGGACTTTCTGGACCTGTGCTGCCCAATACAGTAGCTACTAGCTACATTTGACTATTTAAATTTAGATTAATTAAAATCAAATAAAAACACAAATTTAATTACTCAGTCACACCAGCCACATTTCAAGGGCTTATATTGGTACAAGTATAGAATGTTTTATTGATTGCAGAAAGTTCTACTGCACACCATAGGCCAGATCCTTGCTATTCAAAGCGTTGTCCATGGACCAGCAGCATTAGGATCGCCTAGGAGCTTGTTAGAAATGCATGACTTATGAGGCCGGGCGCGGTGGCTCACGCCTGTAATCCCAGCACTTTGGGAGGCCGAGGCAGGTGGATCATGAGGTCGGGAGATCAAGACCATCCTGGCCAACATGGTGAAACCCCATCCCTGCTAAAAAAAAAAAAAAAAAAAAGAAAAGAAAAGAAAAGAAATGCGTGATTTATAGCTCCACCCCAGACCTACTGAATGAGAATCTGCATTTTAAACAGGATTGCAGGGAATTCCCATGCACCTTAAAGTGGAGAAGCACTCTCTGGAGCAGGAGTCAGACATAAACTGAGATGCCTACGAGGGCCAAGTAGATGTCCTAAATGAGAGAAGTTGGCCAGATGGGGCTGTAGGACACTGGAAAACCCAAGTGCCATCTAGAGAGGGTAGCCAGCCACTCCAGCCATGTGGACCTACATTGCCAGCATTTCTGACATTTCCAACAAAAGCCCAAATAGAGAATTTTGTGTGCCAAATGCTTATTTTTTATTTACTCAGTGTTTTTTGAGACGGAGTCTCGCTCTGTCACCCAGGCTGGAGTGCAGTGGTGCAATCTCAGTTCACTGCAACCTCCGCCTCCCGGGTTCAAGCGATTCTCCTGCCTCAGCCTCCTGAGTAGCTGGGATTACAGGCACACGCCACCTCGCCCGGCTAATTTTTGTATTTTTAGTAGAGGCGGGGTTTCACCATGTTGGCCAGAATGATCTCAGTCTCCTGAGCTCCAGTGATCCACCCGCCTCGGCCTCCCAAAGTGCTGGGATTACAGGTGTGAGCCACTGCGCCTGGCCCATATGCTTATTTTTAAATGTAAACAGTTTATTAAAATCTTCTAAACTCATGCTGGTCACCTCCCTGCAAACCCCTCATCTATAGGATGGATAGAGCCTTCAAATCACCAGGGAGCAACTTTAGAGTACAGCAACTTGCTAGTCGGACACTGAGTCCTCCTTCCCTGTCCTCCCGCTTTCCCACTCCCATGTCCCCTGGCCTTGATCAGTACATATTCCTGGGAATCTGCCCTAATTCAGAATGAACCCAAGGGAAACTTAAAGAAGGAGGCAAATTGCTGCTGAAAGCCCTGTGATGTGTCCCAAAGCCAACTTTCAATGATCTTTGCATTGTTTATCTCCAAAAACAGAAAATTGCAAGTGAAGGCAAAGTCTTCAGCTCCCTTCTCTTACCCTTCCCACCCCACATCCTTAATTGAGAGCCATCTGTTCCTTGAATAACTGTATACACTCAATGAGGCTATTTTAAAGCCTGAATTCTCACCTCTCTTGAGACCCTGCCTTGGGTCAGCCTCATTGGAAAAATTGCCTCCCACCAAATTCTCCTCTGTAAAAGGTTCTGCTAGCAGCTGATTCCCATATGGACAGAACCAGCCTGTTGGAAGGTGATGGCTCTCAGAGGCTGACATTTGAAGAAGGGCTCCCTCCCACCCACCCTCAAGGCCATGCCTCCTTTTGTTCAAAGGTGGCAGGTGTCTGTACATGCAGAGCAAACTGAACTTTGCAGAAATCCACCAGCTTCTTGCTTTTTCTCTCTGTTAGTTGGAAGTTGAAAATATAGTCAGTTTCCATGGTGATGGCAGCTCAGGCTAAGAAGAGAAATGAAATCCCTGGGTCAATCCGGAGCTTAAACTTCTCAACCAACACCCTCCCCTCACCACTGCAATAAAAACAAAAAACAAAAAACAGCTAACAAGTAACAATACCAGGCATCAGATTTGATTTTGATCTTCTCATTTTTGTCCCTTACTGTGTTCTCCTGTGAGTAATAGAAATAACAGAAGGGAGAGGGGCTTGGGCGATGTGATTTGGATCAGGAAGCATTTATTTAGCATCTACTATGTGCCTAGCTTCCTGGAACAGCTGTCTTTCTTTCAGGGATCCAGGGTTGTTTAGGACAAAGTGTTTCAATGTGCGGCAGGCTGCTTAGGCCTGAGAAATCCCAAAAGTAATGAAAGATGATCCTAACACAGAGGTTAGAAAGTTAGGGACAGGGCACCGTGATGAGCTTTTCCACTCATCACAGGCCCTGAGAAATCAGGAATCTTGTGTATTTAAAATGAATTTTGAGTCTGCCAATATGAAACAATTATGGTATTTTTAAAACCCTGATAGCTTTAGTTTTATTATTATCATCTTAATTGTCAAAAGTCATATATGGACAATAGAAATATGTTGCAAACCACAGAGAATACCCGGATCCCACCACAGAACGATGATCACTTTTAGTGAATTGTCCTCCAGTCTAGAGGCTGGGCCTAAGAGGTGGGATCTGAGCTATGCTCTCCTGGCATAACCAAAGACAAAGTGATACTTAAATTCCCAAATCAATGTTTTTACCCCTACGGATCCAGCAAGGTTAGTCCGGACAGAGTCCGTTCCATGTGACATCAACAACCCTCTACGGAAGCCACCTCGGTATTCAGACCTGCACATCAGTCAGACGCTCCCCAAAACCAACAAAATCAACAAGGTAAGGCTGGGCTTCTGCTGGGTCTGGGCATGTGGGGCTGGCACTGCTGGGTGAGGGGTAGGAGGGAGGAAGGGTTGATCTGGAAGTATGGCGCTCCCTCCCAACCCATCTCAGCTTCCCTAATTCTGTGATGTTTGTGTTGAGTAAAGCTTGAGGGACATCCAGCAATCAGTGGAGAGGTTTGTGTGCCAGAAATCTAATTTAGAGAGAGGCCATGTCGGAATGAGAATGGATGAGGGTGTCCAGGAAGGCACAATGGATGGGAGGAGAGACTTAAAAGGAGTTTCGTTAGTGGTCCAGACCTCACTTGCTTTGCTCTGTGACAGGTTTTGCCATCTGTATTAGTCTGTGTCATGCTGCTGATAAAGACATACCTGAGACTGGGTAATTGATGAAGAAAAAGAGGTTTAATGGTCTCACAGTTCTGTGTGACTAGGGAGGCCTCACAATCATGGCGGAAGGTGAAAGGCACATCTTATATGATGGCAGACAAGAGACGGCTTATGCAGGGAAACTCCCCTCTATAAAGCCATCAGATCTTGTAAGGCTTATTCCCTATCACGAGAATTGCACAGGAAAGACCAGCCCCCGTGATTCAATTACCTCCCACTGGGTCCCTCGCATGACATGTGGGAATTGTGGGAGCTACAATTCAAGATGAGATTTGGGTGGCGACCCTGCCACACTATAACACCATCTTCCAGGACCAACTTTGCAGATGGTTCTGGGCTTTCTGACACATCTGTCGGATCAGACCTCCAAGGAATAGGGGTCTATTTCTGAGCTTCTGGTAGAGGCTGGATGGATGGGTTTTCTTTGGGGCCCTGAGCTCTGAGCAACAGGCAATTTGGTTGGCTTCTACCCTCAGACAGAGGTCAGCACTGGGCCCCTCTGTGCATCTTTCTTTCAGTTGTGGCCCAGAAATTTCTGGCATGATTTCCATATCCTTTATTTGATCTGCTGATGGGACTGTACCAAATCTATCCCAGGGGTATGCCCAGCTTCACAGTAGGAAGCAAAGGTTGCACCCACCAGCAGGTGATTTCCCAAGCATCTCAAAGCTTTCATGCATTATGTCGAAGGTAGATGTCTTAGTCCATTTGCATTGCTATAAAGGAATATCTGAGGCTGGGTAATTTATAAAGAAAAATGTTTATTTGGCTCACAGTTCTGCAGTCTGTACAAGAAGCCTGACACCAGCATCTGCTTCTGGGGAAGCCACAGGCTGCTTCTACTCATGTTGGACAGTGAAGGGAAGCGGGCATCACAAGGCGAAAGGAAGGAAGGAAACGCGTGTGTGAGAGAGAGAAGGAGGGAGAGGGAAAGGGAGAGAGAGAGAGGGTAAGAGAAGAGGGGAGGTGAGAGGAGAAGAGGGGAGGGAGGGGAGGGAAGGCAAGGGGAGAGAGGTGCCAGGCTCTTTTAAACAGCCAGCTCTAGTAGGAATTAATAGGGTGAGAACTCACTCATTACTGTAAAAAAAAAAAAAAAACTCTTCATGAGGGATCCACCCCTGTGACCCAAGCACCTCCCACTAGGCCCTACCTCCAACATTGGGTTCAAATTTCAACATGAGATTTGGAGGAGACAAATATCCAAACTATATCAGTGGAAAAAGCGCATTAGCCCAAGGATCAGGAGGGCACTGACCTGTGTTCAGGTCCTAGAGGAACATCGTGATAGCCGAGTCACTATTCGTTGGCAACGCACAGAGAGAGGATTGCCCCCTTCCCAATCCATTTCCCACACATCAGCCAGGGTGATACTTAATGAATGCAATTTGAATGATGCCATGCCCTGCTTAAAAACCATCCAATAGCTTTCGATTGCATCTAGAAAACAAATCAGACTCTACTGCAGCCTGAAAGGCCATGCATCATTTGGTCCCTCCTCTATCTCTGACCTCTCCTTCCATGTCTTCCCACAAAGCTCATGTGTCCCCTTTCTCTTGAGCTCTCTCCCCCGCCATTTTTATCTCGAAGCCGTTTACCATCTGGCTCCTTGTGGCATCATTTCAGCAGTTGAGTGAAGCTGGCTTCTGGAATCAGGCAAACCTGGCAGCCAGCCAGGGCTTCCTCTGCTTATTAGCTGTGGGACTGAACAAGTAACTTAATCTCTCTGAGCCTCAGTTTTCCTGTATGTAAAATGGGGGTGTTCCAGTTATCTACTGCAGCACAACAAACCACCCAAACTTAGTGGCATATGACAATCATCCTTTTTTTATACTCACAGAATCTGTAGGTCAGGAATTAGGACAGAGAGCAGAGGGAGTGGTTTGTCTCTGCTCCATGATGGGAATCAACTGGGAAGACTCACACAGATAAGGGCTGGAGTCATCTAAAACAGGGATTGACAAACTATGGCCCACAGGCCAAATCCAGCCCACCACCTACTTTCGTAAATAAAATTTTATTGAAACACAGTCATACCCATATTTCTGTGGCTGCTTTTGTGCTATAATGTCAGAGTTGGGTAGTCATGACAGAAACTGCATGGCCTGCAAAGCCTAAATTATTTACTGTCAGAATCTTTACAGAAAAGGTTTTCTGACCCCTGATTCAGAGGCTCTTTCACTCCATGTCTGGTGCCTGGGCTGGGTTGAGTCGAAGCGTGGGTTCAGCAGAGTTGTCAACTAGAGCACCTGTATATGGACTTGCTGTAATGCTTGGGTGTCCTCACAATATGGCTGCCTCAGGGTAGTTGGGCTTCTTACATGGCAGCTCATGGCTCAAAGAGCAACTGAATTAGCAAACAGGTGGAACTTTGACAGTGTCACTTCTGCTGCTCTTTACTGATGGAAGCAGTCACAAGCCTGCTCAGATTTAAAGGGAAGAAACACAGACCTCAACTCTTAGTGGGAAGAGTCCACAGATTTGTAGTCATATTTTAAACTGCCCATGGCAGGCAATAAGAACACCAACCTCAGACAGTTGTTATGAGGATGGAATTCAATAATCAACATTTAAATGCACTCAGTGTACTTACCGGCCCACAGTTAATATCCAGGAGATTCTAGCTATTATTATCAGCTTAAATTTAGGGGCCTTTGATCAAAACGTCAGGCTGGGTCCACTTTTCCTTTGTTATTCGCAAAAGATACAGGTCTTTAGGAGAGGGGATCCCCACTGCTGGGAGGGCTGAGTAAGTTCAAATAGCGAGGCTTCTGGGAACTATAGTAACTGTGCATCCCTTAGAACCCATTCTTTCCTTTGTGACATTTTGAGGGGTGAGGAGCTCAGAACCACCTTGAGACCTTTCTCTCTGGCTTTACAGGCACCATGAGCCTCTTGGTGTCAGATGAGACTGAAACATAGGTCAGATAGATCAGTGACTGTGACATTGTTCTGCTTGTCTGCCAGCAGGAGAATTTGATAAGGGAAATAAATTAACCTCTATTAAGAAAGCAGCTTTGACATGAAGGTGGACAGGATCTATCATAGGGCTGGGTTATTTTTTCCCCTCTTTCCCTTCTTGCTGGCTTCACACAGATTCTTCTTGTCAGGCAATGACGTGGTTAGTGCAATAAGTTTCTGAGCCAGTTTGGTCTGAAGATTTTTTTTCACTGCTCTTTGTCTTGTCTCCTGTCTAGTTCAGTCAATCCAGTTCACAAAGGCCCTGCTTTTTCACCTAGCACAGTGGTTAGAGTATAGATTTTGGAGTCAGGAAGTCTGGGCTTGCAACTCAGCTCTTTAACTTGCTGTGTGATTGTGGGCCAGTTATCTCAAGATCTGTCTGCCTTAGTTTTCCTTTATGTAAAATAGACATAATAGGAGGTATTATTGGGGTTGCAGACAGGATTCGATGTATGATATGTATAAAGGATTTTAGTCCAATGCTGAGTACTCAGGGCATGGAAATAGCTTGATGATGACGAAGACAGCGAAAGAGGAGAAGGAAGAGGCAGGAGGAACAGGAAGGGGGAAGGAGGAGGAAAGGAAGCAGGAAGAGGAAGAGAAGGAGAAAGAAGGAGGAAGAAGAGGAAGACAGAGTGGGGTGGATGAGGAGAATGGAGAAGGGGGAAGGAGGAGAAGCAGCAGCAGTAGCATCTGCCAATTCCTTATGGGACCAATCTACAACCCTTGTACTTCCACATCAAGGCATCAAAACTACCATCTGCAGTAGTGGCAGAGGCTGAATCTCTGCCTGCTGTATTCAAGCTGTTTGAAGTGCCTGCATGCTGGCTTACTTTTGTTGGTTGGTTGCAAGGTACAGAGACCTGCCTAGGCTGGCTCTGCAAAATGAGTTGTCTTTTGTAAAGGGTGGACATGGGGCAATTCAGAGAAAGGGAAATAATCATTTAGGATCTGGACCTTATGAAACTAGACATGGAGAACAGTCTTGAGCTCAATCCAGCTCCTTGAACCCAAAGCAAGCCCATGGGCCATTATTTTGGTCTTCCATCGTATCCCTGACTCAGCTACTCTTTGTGGGTCTCCTCTGATGTGTTGTTACCGTTGGCTGGTTTCTTCATCTTCTACTTTTGTCTTTCTTTCCTTTATCATTGCTTCTGCCTCCATATAGTTCCTACTCCTTATGACCTTTGGCTTTTTTGTTTTCTGGCCTGTTGCGGCTCCCCTGTTCTCTTTGAACCTCATCTTATCTCAGCCTTTGCTCCTAATGCTCTTCTTCCTAATGGCGTATCTCATCATTCTATCCCATATTATAGGTCACTGGTCAGCTGCCATTATGCTCTGGCCTATGGTCCTGTGTTGGGAGTGGGCTATGGAGGTCACAAGACAGGTGTGTCTGTTTAGGACAGTCCATTGAACAAAGGCTGTTGGGTTGGAGGGTGAGGACAGTTTCCTTAGAAAGTTTCCATGGGAGAACAGTGACCATCACCACCATGTCCAAATCAGTGCTTAGCTGAGTGAAGTGGAAACCTGGGTGATGAACGTGCTTCTATTTGAGTTCCAGAGTCAGATGTGAATTTCTTATTACTTGGCACAACCTTGTGTTTCTGCTTCTGGGCCAGGACTTGGGACCTGGGCCACTAATGCTCTGTG